AGTGGGAGGAACTGATTAAACACTGAAGAATGATGACAGACTGGTTTAAAATAAGCTGGAGATCGGGGCGGCAGATTAGGAGAGGTGGGGTTGAGTGACTCATACTTCTATAACTCTATTCACTTTAGCAGAAATATCAAAAATATTTCTGTAACAAACAAAAACAAAACCCACAGAGGCTTCAGAGCTTGCGTGCTCCTCAGTGGAAGCAGAAATTCAGATGGAACGCAGCAATTCAGGTGCAACGTGAGAGACAAGAGCTAATGAGGTCTCCAGCCCATGAAAGGGGAGCACTGAACACCAAGCTGTACCTGCCCATGGGTCACAATGTCTATGAGATTATTTCAAAGTCCATTTTGAAAACAAAAAGAAACAATTCATTTAAATGGTCTTATTCAAAGAAGTGCCAGCAAATACTTAAAATATTGGAGATAGAGCATTTAAGGAAGACTGGGTAAACAGGCTGGCTGTGTGTCAACTAGCATAAGAAGCTTTTTGAAGTATAGGCCCCATTTGTTGTCATCATTGCTGACTAAGGACAAGAACTCATTCTTCAGCTAGACTTGTAAAGTCACACTCTCAAAGATAAGTCGCTTTGGCTAACCAGCAATCATTATTGTGACTGTCACATTGATTATTCCGAACACCGGCAGTAAAAATATTAACCTGATTATTGACCACATGGAAAATCCATCTCTTGTTAAAGTCGTACATACAAATGTCATGAGCTGCCGGAGAGTCATGCCCATTAGTGACTGCAAAGATCTGCATTTACAGAGCCTGTAGAGCTGCAGGATGAATGGCAGAACTATTAGGATTCCTAATAAAGTATAGATCTATACTTTATTAGACCTACAGAGGTGGTAACTGCTAAGGACTGTTAGCTTTTGCTGCTTGTGCTGGCACTTGCATTTCTTACTCAGGGAATTAGCATCAAGAGTATTAATTACAGAAGTCAGAACACAGTGAGATACATGCTAAAGGAAATCCTCAGCTCCCTCAAAGCACAAAGCTAAGAATGTAAGGATTTTTTTCTTATGTTTAATGCCAATTAGTAAAGCATGGTTGAGATTAATCATGGAATTGAAGTGCAATTAAACATTGCTATGATAAGTTACTATTATGGTTACTATTTACAACTTGGTTGTGGCTAATAACCAGTGAGACTGGTGCTCATTATAACAGATAATGTATAATTAGATAATATGAGATATCCTATGTACTAAATGGCTCTCATAGATCCCTTCTTAAAAGTGTCTGTCACTATATTTTAGAATAATTTAAAAAATAATAAAATACCATTATAATAAAGCACAGTATAATGAGTAGGAGAAAAGAACAGGTTCTAAAAAATGGATGAGGCATTGCTTGGTGAGGTGACCTTTCAGAAATATCCCCTCCTTCACTGATCTTCTAAATGAAAGGCAATATTATTTTTAATTACACCTTATGAGCATAGATATAAGTAGTCAATTAAAAGTCACTCACATCTGAGCCAGCTACAGTTTTGCTATCATAACAGAGAATAACACTTGAGTTAAGGTTGCATGACAAATACCATTCTGTTCTGTTGTATTTAACTTTTTCCCCCAAGATAAGGCTCTAATTCTTCAAGAAATATTATACAGGGACAGAAGGATAAATTTCTGTTCAAAGGAAGATTCCTCCCTACAGAAAAGTTTAAGCACAAAACCACCAACAAAGAACATGTTCTTTTGTGAAAAAAGAAATAAACTTTTCCCATAATATGGGGAAAGATCTTGCTTTTTAAAATAGCTTTAACCATGGAAAACAGCAGAGGATTGAAAGCTAGAATTTGACATAAAAATAACCCTCGCTAAAAAGAAATGCCTATGAGTGTTTTATCAAAAATTGCTTTTCAAAAGTGCACTGTCTGCATACATGTCTGAACAGGATTTTTGTTCTAAGCTTTTAAAGAGTACAGCTAGGGAAGACTGCTCCGAACACATGCACATTGCTAACTCCACAGGGAGAAGAATACCCAAAGCCACACGTAAAATTGGTTGTAATTCTGACTACTGTACAAAATTGCTCCTTCCTTAAGCAAAACGAACTTCCATTGCTACTTCACTATTTACAACAGCTATGGAGAGAAGGTTGCTGAATGGTATTAATGATACGTTTATGTGTTCATTTTCTCAAGGCTGCTTTTAGGATTAAATAGCACTGGACTTCGCTACCCTTATTTCTTAGTCAATTGTTTCCTATTCCTTTTGCTAGGTGTCACTGAAAATCCTTTAAAGGTACTGTCTTAACATAAATAAAACATAGTAATTCCATTAAAGTAATAGTATATAATAGACCCAGGTGGAGTATCTCTTGCTGTACTGGAAAAACTCTCCTCCAAATATTGCTGAGTATGGTCTCACATGATTTGGATCTTTCTGGCAGTACTGCATGTCACCGCATGAACAATATATTGTGAAAATGGCAGCTGAGTTCAGTGCTACCAGAGCTGAGATGCAACACGCAAGCACTCCCATGGGAGTGTTGCTTCCGACTTTCCTTAGATTTAATTCAAAATCTTAAAATGTTTCTGAACAAGCTTTTGATCTCCTTCATATTTATAGAGCACATATCCTGTGGGATTAAAAAAGACAGACATCTGTTTTGGTGAAGTTGGATGCAATAAGAGTATGATGACAGGATTTGCATTTTTTCTTTATGCAGAAATGCAGACTTTCTTTTGAAGCTGAATTGATAAAATCCAAGAAAGGACAGTTCTCTTTCTTGGTATAAAACCAGGTACGATTGAGAACAGGGGCTTGGTTTCATTTCACAGTCTAATATAAAAGCTCATTAGCTCAGAGATCTTCAACTATCCCAAAGAGACGCAGTGTTTATACTGCCCTGCTTCGTTACACCTGTGTTTTCAGAACCTCAGAATGGAATTTCTTTTTCAATCTTCATTTCTACAGCAAGGAGGCGGGAAAGGTTATTATCATGTTGCTAAGGGAAATGCATCATCCCATCATCCAAAAGCCAATATTATAGACTGACAGTATTTGGAGAGGGTTATGGCTTGTAAAGCCAGTCATTCACATTACTACTGGAACAATATTGCTCTCTCTTGGAATGAGTCAGGGAGAAACAACAGAAACTGTTACATTTTATATTACTTTTATTTCTACTTAAGGGCATTGGCTGTAAGATGTATTTGACTTTTTTCCTGGTCTGGCCTCCATTTTACTTGAATTCCGAAGGAAAATGTTTCCATTTTGAAAACTGACTGAAAATGAAAGATTAAATAATGCCTCCTACCTTTTTTTTTTTCTGTTTCTTGTACCATTTTCCTAACATAAAATATAAAGGAAGGAGACTTTTAATACAAATAAATACCTTCATTTTTTTTATTAGAGCAACTATTCCACTTCAAAGAAGTCATTTACTACCCATTTTGAGCTATACAAGCACCATTTCCGTTAAAAATCAATAAAGGCACTATGGTGTATTTGTCAGAGTGCTCCTGATGCAAACAGAGCTGTGTTTTCTTACCTCAGCTGAGAATTTCAGTATGAGAGTTTACTATAACTATTTCAAGTTACATTTTCTTACCTCTTACACCTTTATCTGAGCTGAGCAGCCCATTTCTTTGTATGTGACATACCTTAGTGGCTTCCCAGGCACAGTGACAAACAATAACTACTGAATCTGCCTTATAATGTCGAGTAGACTTCCATGTGTATTTAATGTGGTTTCCCAAGGAAAAAAAAGACTTGTGTGCTCTACTATCTTGGCACAACATTACTCAATTTCAGCCCAATCTGACTGAGAGCTAGGGGTCTTGAAAACATTCAATGCCAAAAGAGGAATGAGGACCAGTGAACAGCTGACCATGGATATCCCATCTGTACTTCCACTGATGAAACCACCAAGCAAGCACAGTCCTTCACCATTCTAGTAACAGGAACCAGCTGGCTAGCTAGCTGGTTATGAACTGCAGGGTACAACTCTTGCACAGACATAAAAAATATGAGGAAAAGACCAAACCCCCCCCCAAACAAACAAACAAACAAAAAAGACCCAACACATTTTTTTTAATGGGTTTGGCCGGGTCTGGAGGAGTCTGGTATTTCCTGTGATGGAGGCATGTGCAGGAGAGACGCAAACTTTACATCACCAAACTTCATTAATTCTACTTTCTCAGCTTTAATTCAGCATCGTCACAAAGTGACAGAAAACACAAGCCAAGCTGCTAATTGTTTTCATACAGTAGGTGGAAACTTACTGGTGAAAGAGGAAATTTTAAAAGGGACACTCCTGGGAGCGTAACGTTGTCCATATTATGACACACGTTTGAGACAACGGTGCTGAAAACCCAAGTCCCCTCTTCGTTGTCCGAGCAAACAGCTGGCAAGGCATTCGCTTTGGTTGCAGCTGAGTCAGGCTCTGTCTAAAGCCATTCTCCATCCAAGGGCTGGATACCATGAAGTCAGGTGAAAAAGTGACATAGGACCATTTATTCCTCACAGCTTAACCCTTATGAAGTTGCGGGTATTGTCCCATCATTTATTACTAAAATTAAGTAAAATGACAGGCCTGTGGCTTACACTGAATTTATGCCAAATCTGTTCTTTGACATATTTTCAACATCTCCTGTATCTTTGCGGTAACTAATCATTGTTTCATTAAAACATGTACTTGAAATGCAATATAAAGTGAAATCTATTGACAACAAATTACATAAATATATATAGAGGAATGCACATATCAAAATGTATCACTGGCAGATAAGATGGATAAAAACAGTCTTATAAATAATGGTTCATATCTCTCGTCTGCTGGAAAAAATAATCCTCACAAAACCAGTAACCTTTTTTTCTAGGTATTTCTTGAAAACTGCGTGGTACGTATAAGAATATCTGCTGATATCACAGTAATTCAAAGGAAGCACTAATAATAGCACTTCATAGTACACCAGATAACACACTAAGCCAAAATTAATATACAATATTTATTATGAAATTAATTAACTTTACCTTGAAAAATAGCGGCTCCTCAGGAAGAGGACTAACAGGGAGGGAAGTGGTGCTACTAGCTGGGCTCATGTCTGTACTCTGAAAGAAAAACACACAGGAGTTTGTATTTCCAATCAAGTTCTGTGGGCATTTTTTTACATTGGGGGGGGGGGGGGGGCTCAAAAAAAACACTGAAAATCCAACAGAATTAGATTGACATGGCAACTGCAATTTGTACTGTATTTATTTTTAATTAGTAAAAGTATTTCACTACTGGGTAAGTACTTTGCATTTTCTTTATTTTATATGAACTCCCCATTCAAAGACTGAAAATATGCAAACATACTGTGTCTACAAAAGAGTAATACAAGAGGATAACTGAGAATACAAAAATGTATTCACATAGAAAAAGTTATGATATACAATTATTTTTGTTACCATTATTTTTTGGATGGCCCAATAGTAAAGTTAGAATGCAAAATTAACAGGAAAGTAATATATTGCAGGAAAGTATTTGGATCAAAGTTTTAAAAAAGATAACTTTCACGAATCAATATATCTTACAAGCAAGCATTAATATATGAAAAGAAACAGTGAACAGCAAAGTTAATAATGAAAAAAAGTAAGTATGCTTCAATGGACCTATCCAGTCAAAACATTTGAAAGACTGATCTAAAGACCCACTCTTTTTTAGGTAGTATTTCAGTAACCTGTTGGTTAGTGTGGTCATTATTTTTATAGATGTGACATATATGACAAGAAGTGTGGAAACTCTTAATAATTTGGAATTCTAATAATAACAAAAGAACAAAATCTGGATTAAAGAAAATACATGATCAATACCAAGATTATTCTGGAGAAAACTAGAATATATGATATTTCTTGGGAAATAAATCTTTAAGTTCTAAGACAAAAATACCCCACCACCACCAACAACAATAAAACAGAAAAGATGTAATGGAGAATAAAAAAACAAGTTTGCACAGGCCAGAAGATAATTTCATTTTCACACTATGGTACTGCAATGCAGAATGATTTAATGAATTCAAGTTATGCAATTAACTAATCAGATATCTGGTTTCACATAGCTATGAATCTATTACCCTTTCGATAAACCCAGATTCTGCAAGTGAAGAATACTGCTCCACCCATGAAGTTCTAACAGTTCATTCACCAGAAGATTTTTATGCAGAGATACCGTATTTTATTTAACCAACTTATACACGATGAAAACTGAGATGCAATTTGTAGTACGAAATCCCTATGTCAGATCCGAAATAGAGGGCACAGACTTCAAAGTTAACACCTACTGAGAAAATTGCTGAGTTTAATGAGATACGTATCAGTTACACCATACCTGAAAGAAAAGACAACAGTTACTTGCTAAATAAAAGGGATGCAAGTAAAGGAGAAAGAAGGGGGCCATGGTAATTATTTCCTAAGACAAAGAGAGAGACGGGTAGTTTATAACCCATGCAACACAGAGAAGTTGTTGAGGAATGAGGGAGATTATAACGTCAGAAAGTCAGTGTCTTTGTTGAATCCATCACTCTGGTATTCAGAAGCATTACTCCTGCACTTGATCATCAAGGAAACTGGCTGATAATATTTACTGAAAGAAAGTGAAATGTAGCTCTTTCAGATTAAACTCAAAGTGCAGACAAAACTGGAGACCTCCTCTGTGAGGACGTTCTGCCTCAAAAGCTAACAGTTCAGCTGAGGACAATTTGTCTTTTAATTTACACAAAAGAGAAAAAACCTAAGAGGGGAAAAAAATCAAGTAGCTGCTTTCCAAACCAAATCAAGTGCCCTAATTTGCAATTAGAAGTGCGAAGGAAGGCAGCCCAATCTTTTCAGCAGTGAGACAGCCTCAGTACGCAAATCTGCAAAGCAGATTGGTACCTGTATGCTACACGAGCTGCAAGTTCTTCAGTGATAGCTGGAATATAAGAAAGGTCGAACAGCCCTGCGGCTGACGAAGCTGCTTTCACAAAACTTCTCAGGGCACATCCACAAGAGATGGCCTCAGAAAAACATCTGCTATTCCGTGATGACTGGACGCGAGTCAGCCCAGGTCTGGACTGCACGCTGATGCGGCAGCGTGCCTGAACTAGACAGGCTGCTGAGAGGTGGAGTATATTAGTAAGGGCACTGTGACTATATAGCTTCTGGACTAATGGGTTGAGTCTGGCCAGATCGGAGCATTGGCAGAAGAGCCTGTGTCTGGCTACAGCTGTCGGCGTATGCATACCCTCAGTGGCCCCTCCAACAACTTCAGTAATTTCCCTCTCTAAGGAATGCAGAGCAGCTTCTCTGCCAGTGTAAATTAATTAAATCCAGCAGCGCTAACATAGTTTATTATAGCGGAGAACTGAGTGAGACAGTACCAAAAGTGTTGTTTCTCGAGCTATTAAAAAAAAAACACAACCAACAAACTTCCAAACTAATCACTGCTTAAAGAGATGTTGTCAGCTTGCCCTTCTGAAGGGACACATTAACAATTCAAACAACATCACACATCCCCCCTAAATTTACCATCCACAGGGTATTTGTCACAATCACACTTTGCAGTCTAAAGCTCTCCATACGTACAAATAAACTACCAATTGTGAGGAATTCACCCAATGAGGACTTTTTCTTTGATGTTGCCTAAACCAATTCCGTTCTCATAAAAGCAGCCACTCGCTTTAAGTCTGGCCTAAAGTTAATGGATTTTAGTTATAAATCAACCAGAATAGATTTTAGTTATAAATCAACCAGCAGCATTAGGCTAGAATCATACCTTATAAGTTGTAGTAGATGTTAAACATCATTTATATCATAATTATACATATTAGGCAAAATGAGGTAAATTAGGACATCTCCTAATTTTGCAGTACTTTGCTGTGCACCTGTAACATTTTAAAATGGATTTTTGATGCACAGTAATACCACAGCTGGGTTTTGTAGACTGAGCCTTTTCCCTCTGTCCCTGGAAACCTCTGTGTGTTCTGGAGAGCAGAGAATTTGCAAAGCTTTAATCACCTAAACTCCATTTTTAAAATGTCTTAATACCAAGCAATTCAAGTATTTCTCAGAACAGCAGTTTAAGAAAATACCATCTTGCCCATGTCAGAACCAGCAGGCTGTTAAAATCCAGCAAATGGACATTACTAGAACTTTGCCGATAATTGCTCCATGATTACAATGATCAATGATCAAGTTTCCTTCTGATTTCTAGAGCTGATCATCTTCATTGTGCAACCAAATGAGTACCATGGAGTCACTGCCAGGCTGTGGTAACCATTCACCCGCAGCGAGCAATGTTAAAAGTGTGATTAACCATCCGGAAATTTCTTGATAACGAGGCAGAGGAAGAAAATGAGTATAAGAGAACAAACTTTTCCCACTTCTGGGTCCTGTTCGGAGATCCCGGATCAGGATCCTGCTTGAGGACGGATTTCCCCCCATTTTAGCTAGATAAAAGAGAAAGCAGCTCTTTCTGCAGCTGTTTTAAAGTAGTTATGGGCTTGATTTTGTTTTCTTTTCTTCACTTGCGTACACCAGCTTCAAAACAGAATGTTTCATAAACCTGCATACTGACACAAATTGTCTAATGGCAGATTAAAGAATGTACTCGGTGTTTTTCCAGCAATACAGAAGACCAATTATATATAAATACACATTGTTAAAACCATGCTCCTTTGAAAACAAGTCATCTTCCAGTCTTCAGCAACTGTTCTTTAAATGAGAACAGATTCACCTCACCTCATAAATTGGGATTTTTCTTGCTACAATCCCTTGTCTTTTATCTGATCTTCTCTAGAAAGAGGCCTATGTATCAACCTTTGTTAATTGTACCATAAAATATGGGACCGTCCACTGTATATCACCCCCTGACAGAAGCCAATTTAATTTGCTACAACTGCTTTTCAACAAGGGTAAACACTGCAATGATAGTTGGCAGACATTGACTTCTCTGGAGATCAGTATCGCAATTTATTGATCTAAGAAGTTACTACTGACAGAGAAAACCTTCAGTGGATATTAAAGCTAGAGATCAAATAAATCTTTATAATAACTGAAAAAAAGAAAAGACAATCTATGTATTTTATAACTTTTTATAAGAAGTAGTGAATGAGTGCTGAACTGACTTTCACAGTGATGGTTTTAGTTGTTTCATAAGTTATGCCACTAAGGATCATTTTAAAATCTAGAAGCTGAGTAGAACTAGAAAATTAAATAAGTGCAGTCAGCAAGCTCAGTAGTGACATTTTGATATACTGATGGTAATCAAAGACCTGCAAATGGATTTATTAATGGGTCTGTGCAGCATCTTTATGAAATATTGTGCTTAAATGTTATTATCCTGTTTTATCAACAAAAGTGAAAAAGAAGAGGAAGTGATTTGCTCAAAGCTACAAAGGGCTGTTGAAAACAAAGATAGAAATCAGGAACTCACAAGTCCAAGCACTCCAGTTCATCTACAGCGTGCAATGCTCCCCCCTACACACTTTTGGAGTGTTGTGATTTTTGTAGCTTCTGTATTAATTAACGTGATGAAGTTTTTACTGATACATACACTTCCTGCGAATAAAACTAGTATAAACAATTGAGGCCAGAACAATAAAAATTAGTTTTGACACGAAAAAATAGCAGACACAAGAAATGAGCTTTCACCTCCCAGCCTGCACCATGTTTGATTAATTTTCCCCAACATCTCCAGTCTCACTCACCAAGACTGGCAGTGCCTCCTTAAAATGTGTGTAGGCCTATTTCTAACACCTTTGAATACAATCCAGGTGGTTATTTATAAACCTATTTCATGTGTCTTTTATTAGTAGGTATAGCTAATTATTCTTACTAATTACTAATACGTGCAATTACCAGCTGAGACGTTTAATTAGTATTTTCAGGTATTTGCCTGGTCCATTGCCTAGAGCTTGCTGCTCCCATCCCTTAGACAGCTGCGTGCGTCTTCATGTGAGCTGAGTTATTGTAGCTTCCATCGCGGGGGCAAACCATAAATTACAATCGCTATTGCTTCTTGCCACCTCTTTTTCTGCTAGTACATGAGGTGTGGGTAGACAAGTAAGTTTTTAGAGGTTCAATTACCTACT